ATCTAGTTTGATTGATTAGCTAATTGAAGTTTTCATTGATTTCAACTCTTCCATTTCAAACTTATAGAATATGTTCATGATGTACTTTGTTTGACTCTATTCCTTAGGTAGAGATTAATCACTTTGTTCTTTGGAAGATTCTTCTTCATCTTGTTGTACATTTGTTTCTTCACTTTCTTCGCATCGTACCAGACGATCAACTAGCCGAATGAGATACCAAAGAAATTGCCACCAAGAAGGGCAATTGATCGTGAGATTGAACTTGTTCCGGGTGCCAAACCTCCCACCACGGCACCATACCGTATGTTTCAGCCGGAGCTTGAGGAGCTTCGAAAATGATTGAGAGAAATGTTTGGAAGTAGGATTATCGTGGATTGCACTTCTACACTACTACGTGCAAACTGCTGGCCTCAAAGATGGGACGACAATGCAAGTTATGTGAAAACATGTCTTGGTTGTCAACAAGATATGACGGATCATTAGAAAAAGGCAGGCTTACTTGAGTCCCTTTTCGTCCCAAACAAACCATTCGAAAGCGTGTCGATGGACTACATTGGTAGATTACCAAAAGTTGGAGATTTTGACACTATCATCATCGTGATAGATGACTTATCTAAAGAGACAAATTTCACCACAGCGCCCAAGTATGTATCAGTCGAAGAGACAGCTCAACTCTTCTTCAAACATATTGTTAAATATTGGGAACTGTCTAAGAACATCGTCAGTGATCGGGATACTCGGTTTACTGGCATACTTTGGACCGAGTTGTTCAAATTTCTTGGTTCAACTTTGAGCATGGGCTTGAGTTTTCATCCACAATCTGACGGACAGATGGAGTGCTTCAATGCTATGCTGGAAGACTATCTTCAACACTTTAAATCTGCTTCACAGAAAATTTGGGTAAAACTCTTGGAAGCGGCTCGGATGTGTTTCAATGCTCAAAAGAGCTCTTCCCCCAATAAGAGTTCTTTCGAGATTACTACTGGCCAGCAACCGTTACTCCCTCATACTAAAGAGATTCTTGACCATCGAACTACTCGAGCTTCTATGAACTACCTTCAAGAGTACTTGATCAAATGGAGTGGATGCAATAGCGAGGAGAATAACTGGGCAAATGGAAAAGACATTGAAGCCTTCAAACCATCAAAGATATCATTCATTAAGGGCTCCGAGGACGTCACCACAACAAATGGGGGAGAGTGTCACGGACCGCAACTTTACTTAAGCCCCGTGACCCTATCGCAGCCGCAGTTTGCCCAACTTTGACCGCACATTGTAAATATTTTATTTCAATTGTAAAATAGTTGGAAATTAGAAAATTTTAGTATGATTCTAGAAACTTTAAATGTCTACTCCCGTCATTAGGTTTTTGTTGCTAAATCTATTATAGGGGGTATTAGTCTTTCAAACAATCTTTCAAGCTTTCTAGTTCATCCCCTGCACTAGCCATTGTAATTTCTTGCATTTGTCTATTGTAATTTCTAGCTTTTAAGCAATCAATGATCAATTTATATTCAATGCATTTTCATTTTATGTTGCAAGTTTTCTTTAAATTGTAATCAAATTTTCTTTCGTCCCGAAACGATTGAGAGAAGACAGAAGGTAGTCTAACGGAGCAAACTACTGTCCCATGGTGTCCCTTTCTGTGCTAAGAATATTTCAATTGTAAAATAGTTTGAAATTAGAAAATTTTAATATGATTCTAGAGACTTTAAACGTCTACTCCCGTCAATTGAGTTTTTGTTGCTAAATCTATTATAGGGGGTATTAGTCTTTCAAACAATCTTTCAAGCTTTCTAGTTCGTCCCCTGCACTAGCCATTGTAATTTCTTGCTTTCGTCTATTGTAATTTCTAGCTTTTAAGCAATCAATGATCAATTTATATTCAATGCATTTTCATTTTATGTTGCAAGCTTTCTTTAAATTGTAATCAAATTTTCTTTCGTCCCGAAACGATTGAGAGAAGACAGAAGGTAGTCTAGCGGAGCAAACTACTGTCCCATGGTAAGGGAAAGACACGATTCTTCTAAGATAACCCGTGAAACATACCCACCCACCCAAGCCTAAAACAGTGTTATTTCCTTCACCCTTCCCAATCGTTTCTCAATGGTCTCCTAGTCTTCTTCCTCCTAGCAAACCTTTAAGCGCTAGCGTGTGAAGTTCTCAACGGCTTTACGATAGCTTTCATCCTCAGGTACGAGCTTGCTCTCCATTAAGGTTTTGTTGTAAAGGCCGATGAGCACCTCACGGGCGTTGGGCACCACATCATGATCGACTATCCCCGTCCCTGTCCTTTCCTTCACTTTCGACATCATCATTAGTAGCCGCGCCACCCTCCTTAGAAACATTTTTTTGTTGAAAATCGAATTCCTTGCTCTCGACTCGATTGCAACTTAGTTGGTTAACTCACAGACTTCATGTCGAGAAATTGTTATCAAAATTGAACATTTTTGTCTTCATATTCTCTTTCTTGATTATTTGCTGGTGGCACTAACATAACACGGCGTCGGTCCAAGTTAATCTTCAAAGTGTGCCGACTTCAACTGCTTCAGCAAGTTGCACTTCTGTTTGAGAAATCACAACAAAGACTCAAATGTTGAGGAAATTCGTTTGTTGCTTTTCTTGTTTTTGTTACTTTAGAGATTATAAATTCAAGAATCAGGCTTTGGATTTCTAGTGGATTTCCAATAAATTATTTGACGATGTTGGGGATTCACTTTCTAGTTGTGGAGAGCTTAGTTTCCTTAACCTCACCAACAACAAGTTCACGGGCTGCCAGGGGAGTATGCAGTATCTTTATCTTCAGGAGAATGGATTTAAGGGATTTTTACATAAAACACCGGTGAAATTTACCATTTTAACCTTGTAAAATTGGTCAAAATTATGGTCAAGGTCAATTCTTCGATCAATTAAAGGTCAAACTAACAGTTTTTGTTAAATTGGACTTCGGTTGCAAATTTTTGAAAAGTTTGGTACCTTGGATGGCACAAATAAATGGTTTTGACAAAGTCCCAACTAAATAAAAGGTTTGGTACAGTGACTGCAGTTTTCCGTTTTAATTATGTTTTCAACAATGAGAAACATCTTTCATCACATACAACTGCTTTGAAGGTTCCTTGTGATCGCCATGGCAAACATCACAAGCTACCTCATTCTCTCTGTGCCCTTCTCCATTGTGTGCATTGTGCACCCTCATGCAGTTGGACCAAGGCTCTTCCTAATTATATTTGATACTGTAAGCTCTTTCTAACATGTATATAAGTACAAAGAATAGTTTGTGGATGGTAACTTTGACAACTTCAGCAGTGGGTTCATTTGCGACTATAGTATATTTGGCTCACAATGGGAATTCAGATGCGAATTGGCTTGCAATATGTCAACTATTCGATTTTTTTGTAAAAGAATTAGTGGCGCGGTGGTGGCATCTTTCATCACGGTGGTTCTCCTCTTTTTTTGTGGTGGTGATGTCCGCTCTTGCTCTGAAAAAACACTAACAAGATTGTTGTTATGAGTTGATGTATGTTTTCATTTTTTTTTCGAGTTCATACTTTCTATAGTGGTTTCATATTTTGTGGATTCCATTCTTCTCGAAAAATTAATTAATGTAAATTTAATATGTATACTGATGAATTTCATGTAGATGTTTTTTTCTGTTTCCAATCCATACTATCAAATATTTGGTTGGAAGAAGGTTCTGTTATTGTTTGTTGTTGCTTCTATAGACTCGGTGTGACAAATGTGTCGAGCTGCTTGTGGATACTTTAAATTGATTTCAGAGTATAGATTGATTACTTCACACTAACCTCATCGCTGTTTCTCACACTAGTGAAAATCGAGAAAGATAAAATTTCATAGACCTCTTTCAGTATGTTTTTCATTCTCATATGAGGTTGACAAGTTGATTAGCAACAAGTCGACACAAAGGGATACATCATGCTCAAGCATGAGCTAATCGTTCGATATATAGATCATCAAATTCCTACAAATGGAATGAAAAGATCATTACATTATAGTCAACTACTATAGCTTAGAGGCCATCGTAGGTATGTCCACATCCTTAGTTGCCATTATGTCGATACAAGGTTTACGTAAGAGGTGTAACTTCCTACCAAATAGTCTATAGTAGAAAAAAAATCCACTCAACTTGTTTCGGCTTGACCCCATAGGCGGCTCAAGCTTGTTTTAGTTAGGATAGTTCGGAGCTCTAATATAGTTCAATTAGGCGAGATTAAGGAGATGATGTTATTTTTCTTTTTCTATTTGCCTTTTTTATTATAACTATAACTATTAGTTTTTTTTCCCTATTGTCACGCTACAAATATAAAAGAACGTGTAGATATTTAAGACTAGGTACCTATTTGTACAAACTGCATGAGTTAGGAACCTTTGCTGCAATTTCCCTCATATTGTCACCATTTTTTGTTTTTCTAATATTTATCGGTGAAGATCACAAGGTCAATTTCGTCAAATCACATAACTGCACTGCCCCACCGCCGGAAAGAAATAGGAAGAACAGCCCGCCCTGCCGCCTCTCCCTCTCTCTCTCTCTCTTCACAGTTTACGGCTTTATATATATATATATAACACAACAAAACGCAGAAAATAATAGTAGTAATACCACGTCAGCTGTAGAATTTACTTCAGTTCAGTGTTGACGGTGAAAATGTCGTCGTCGTCGGTAATAGGATCGCACGGCGCCGGCGGTCGGTGTAAACTGAAGCCGCACCTGGATGAGAAAGCAACCAAAACTCTCAACCTCACGGTGCTGCAGAGAATGGACCCATTCATCAGCGAGATTCTCATGACCGTTTCTTTCGTCACCTTCTACAAGTTCGACGTCGATGCTACCCAATGGGTATCCACATTCTTTCTCTTCTTCATGTTTTTGTTACTTCTAATGCTGTGTTAAAGTCTTCAAGAAGACGGCGTGACATTGAAAATCGGATTATCTTTTTCTGGATCAATAGTGTTATTTAATTATTATTATTTTCCGTTGCCTTTGAAATCTTGAGTCGTGAATAAAGTAAATGGAGATGTAATCTGTGTTAGAAGTATTTGGTCTGAGGATTGTTGAATTAGTTTCTGATTTTTGGTGTTCAAATTTGCTTACAGAACCGCAAGGATGTTGAAGGGACTCTCTTTGTAGTCAAGAGGTAGTGAATTTTTTCGTGTCGGTAATTTTCTCCCACTCTAGAATATTTCTATGGGTTTTGAGATTTATCTTGCTACAAATTTTGCGCGGAAGTTGAAGTGACATGAAATCGAAGATAGCAACTGAAAATGTAAAATCAAGGGGAAAATACTTTATGCGAGTTACTTAGAAGATCCTGAATTTGCAATGTTTTTTCACTGTATCTTGCAACCAGGAATACGTAACATTTCCATGACTTATATTTTTGTCCCTTTTTTGGCTCAGTAGGAACTGTTTTACGAATTTTTGTTCATCGTATCATTTTAGGAACACTCAGCCGCGGTTCCAATTCGTTGTTATGAATATACGGAGGGAAGGTTTGGATATTTTCATTTTCTTGATCTATGTTGATGCATTCAATATTTTCTTTTCCTTATTTTTTAACAGCACATTCTCCAACAAAACATTATTTTAAAATGCATTTTGGCCCAATGTTTACATATATAAGGTAAAGGTTGTATGATGTATAATTATTTTGGTGCACTCTAAAGTAAATATGTTCTATAAGCACTGTAGAATCAAATGCATAATAGATGATTAATTATTTATTTTATGGTCATTAGTGTTAGCACTTTTTGTTCTAGGATATGTTGAAATATTGTAGCTATTTCAAGTAAATAATGTCGGGAAATCACATATTAAGAACTGATGCTAAAACCGAGTTTAAATGTGAAAATTTTTTTTGATAGGTAAAGTAAATTATTATAGAAGACAGGTCCTACCGGGATGAAAAAAATGGTTGTATATTTACGTTCTCAATTGAACGACCAAATCTGTCAAGGGATAAATTCTCGTCCTGGTTATACATGATATAATCAAATAAATAACCAACATATACATTGCTTCTCTTAACAATGTTAGACCTTCTAAAATGGAATTCAAAGACTAAACATGATATCAAAGAAGGAACATGTCCCAATTTAAGTCTCATGAACACATTTAAAGAAGTTGTACACGTGCGAGGTTTTGATGGGAAAATACGAACACTCATCTACACTTGAGGGGGTGTGCTGGGGACAAGATTTAAAATATTTACATGTTTATTGAGGAAATCTGAACTGTTTTAGTAAGAAAATGGTATCCAATGGATGCAGCTGGATCAAAATGCTGCTTTCTGGGAGCTAATTCTTTGCTTTGTCTTGTTCCTATAGTTGTAGAATAATGTCTTTACGTAATCTTTGTAACAACAGAAAATCTTGTGGAGAATCTCTTGCAAAATTTCGAGTTTGAAGTTCGACTTCCATATCTATTATATCGAAATGCTGCCCAAGAAGTCAATGGTATTTGGTTCTACAATTCACATGAATGCAAGGAAGTTTCAAACCTCATTACTAGGTAAAAAAGACACGATCCTTTGTCTAATATTTTGGCTATTATGGTTTACTTTTGCATTGTCTGTGCTCAAAATCTTTAATAAGTAGCCACTATTAGATGCTACTGATTTCTCCAGTTGATTTTTAGAAAAAAAAGAGTTAGCTTCATATTTGTAGAATTATATATTTACAGTGCTTTGCCCAGGTCTCTAGATCCCCTTTAGAGAAGCTAATACCAAAACTATTGCCCTCTACCAAAGAAAAATCTCAAGGACCTTAACAAACTATTTAGGAAACTGATAAAAAAATATTATGAACAGTCTTGGTACCTCAAACTTGATTTTCTGGAGACATAAACAAGTTCGTATAGTGTGATTTGTCGGTTTTGGGTACTGTGGATTCAGAGGTACTTATAACTGATCGTCTTCATAACTGAAGTGTGAATGAATTTTGACTTTGTTAACTTAGATCTTCAAGCAAAATAATGGTGACAGCAGCAGTGGTTAAGTATGATTTTTATCATAGATCCTATCTTGATACCAAAGAAAGGTTTCAGCAATCAGGATGAGATAATAACAGAATGTGGCTTTTACATGAAGCAGAATTTCTGATAGTGTATTATTAAGACAGCTGCATATGCTTTGAATGTCCCTGTACACATGTATATGTTTTCTATAACATTGTAGTAATTCTACATTTTATTCTTGACAGAATGGAAAGAAAAAACTCACACACACACACACACACACACAAATTTAGAGTGGATGACACCAATTAAAGATAGTTATTGCATTAGGTAGGCTTAAGCAAATATTAGAAACACTGAAGACTACCACACTCACACTGTGACGGCTTGTTTGAGCTTTATGGCTCAAACTGATTTTTTCTTAAAACTAAATTAAATTGTCAGCTCATACTTTAGGATGCATATCCATGGCTAGAAAGTCAATTAGGTATGACATAACAGCTAATAGGTACAAATTGAAATATACACTCTGACATATTTGAAACAATAAAAATATTTGAGTGAAAACTTGGAAAGTGAAAAGGCAAATGGCAACCTATAGGAACTCCTTTTTTATCAAAGCACCGTGTCCTAAGCAATATATGACCATGGGATACTGTTCACAAATTTTCTTCCCAAGTTTCACTGGTATGTATAATAAGCACACGTTATTGGGAAGATGACTTTTAATTACTTTGTTCCATTTCAGTGCCTTTTATGCATGATCTGTTGATATTTTTCGTTCTGTAATATGTAGATATTTTTTAGATGAATAGTCTATGTGGCATTGACAACATTTATGACTTAACCTTTTGTTTAATTACTTAATTCCATTTCAGTGCCTTATCAACAGATCATATGCATGATCCGTTGATATTTTTCGTTCCGTTATCTGTAGGCATTTTTTAGATGAATAGCCTATGTAGCATTGGCAATTTGAGTGGCTTAGCCTTTTGTACAGGATACTGAATGCACATTCGAAGGTTCCTCCAAAGCCACAAGTGTCCTCAAGTAAAAGGTATCTAAAAAGTATCTTGATGAATGTTTCTGTTCATCTGTGCACGAGTCTGAGCTTTAGTTTTAAGACTCTCCCAGAATAAGCTAGCCTGACGATTGAGTCACATCAAATTCCGTAACAATTCCTTGGTTTCATGTCATGGAAAGATGATTGTTCTAATTCTCATCCATATATTATTAGTATCTATAACTGTACTCCATCATTCATCACGTGCATGTGCTGGACTGACTTGGCATATTAGTTCCAGGTTACTCGGTAATACATTATGATTTGAGACTTGTATCCTTTTTAGGTTTAAATAGAAGGTATAAGAAAGAAGCTGGCTTCCTCTTCTTTCCAACTTTATGCTGCTTTATTTTCACCAACTCACCATCCCTTTCCTGAAAATTCTTGTTCTACGTTACTCCAAAAATTGTGACAATTATGGATAAATTAATTTGCCAATAACAAAACACAAAAAACATACAACTGATGCTGTATAAAAAATTTGATGTTGTCATGTCGAAAAAGGAAGCATCAAATCAGCATCCGATGGTGGCCACTGAATGCCACATAACTGATTTGAAGTCTTAAAAGCCTTGAATATGAAAGTAATGGGGCAAAAATTGCATGTTGTGATCACCATCTCAAACTTGATTCGGCAGTTTTTTATGCGGTACATGTTGTCATTCATGGCATACGTAGTTCTTGGCAATGCTTGGTATTGGTATTTCTTTTGATTTCATATCAGCGCATTCTTCCAATTCTTACATTTTTCTTTCTGTATTCTTCTTTGCAGTAAGTTTGAGGAACTTGAAGCAGTCCCTACCAGTTCAGTGATCGAAGGGCCACTAGAACAATCATATATTGCTTCTACTTCTTCAGATCTACACAATGACTCTTCCTTTGTGAACTTGTTTAGTGTGAGTAACTAATTTCTATATTTAATTCATTAACTTTCTGAGTAAAACAGTTTCCAGAGTTCTGTATGTTTATCTTGAGAATTTGTGCAAACTGTATGCATCTTGTTGTAGTCCTTGTTAGATGGGCTTCAATGATGAATATACGTGGCACTAAATATCTCTTAAAAATTCTTATTATTTCGTACCATCTTGAGTGGTATTTTTTTCTCCAAATTCCACCATTGCAGAGAGCTATGCATATAGGAAATGAGTCTTCAAAAGTGAAAAATCCTTCTCTCAACCTTCCTCCCACATTTCCTCCATCTTCCTGTGTTCTTGGTGCTGGTCCTTCCGCTCCAACTTTGCTAGCTCCATCACTTACAGTATCAGTTCCATCAACTGATCCAATGTCATCACTTCATGCTGCCGGTGAACCAAGCAAAAGTCGTAATCAGGTTCTCAATCTAGTCAAGCCCTCATCTTTCTTTTCACCCCCTTTAACATCTACGTTTTTTACACCAGCTACCTCATCTATTCCAACTACTGCTATTCATCTTCCCTCGAGTATCCACCGGCCCCATGGTTCTACAACGCTTAAACCTTTCCGACCTACACCACCAGCAACTCTTACCCCTGATTCCGTTTCTGTTCCAAATTATGGACCTCTAAGCAGGGAAAGAGTTCGGGATGCACTTTTGATGCTAGCTCAGGTACCCTTAGTAATTTGTTTGTGTAGTTCTTTTAATTTTTGACGATGTATTTAGCCCATGTTCAGTTTTGTTAAAAACAAGATTTTTAGTTGATTTTGATAAAATTTGATGAATTGTATGGTTGAAAAGTTGCGAGTCTCATGAAATGTGTGGTTGAAAATGAGTTGAAAATAATGAATTTTAAGAAATGGAGGCTAAACAGGAGCTTAATGTTCATCCTGACATAGTTGACCAGCTAATCAGATGTTTAGTTTGTGCAGTCGTATTACTTTCAGCTTGCGGTATGTGCCTAATAAATTTGTTTTTATCGAATCCATATTTGTAAAAGGACCTCTGGTTAATAGAGTTGTGTTAACAATTTCAGTTTCTACTCGATGTTTGCAAGTTTTTGGGGGATTCCTAGATAACTGTAAAGTTTATTACATGTGTTTAGAAATACAAGTTATTCAATGCAATCTTGCCGAAGTGTGTATGGTGCTATGAACTGCAATTTTTTATGGCATAAACTGGTTGTTTTTCTTAAGGTATCCAGGATTTAAATTCTGTTTGTCCTTAACTATGTCGAATTTGAAAACCAAGTTTTGGATTTTAAGCTTGCCATGTTGGGTTTTAACATAGATGGCTTCATTTTGCAAGAAAAAGGTTCTGGTTCTGATAGTCACCAGATAGGCTCAATGGATTTATTTTAGGACTATGGCAAATGTCTTAGTTATGCAATAGAAATCTAGAAAGTTGGTGATCACATTTTAGTATTGACCGATATTGACACTTTTCTATCCTTTGCTTGTGGAGGCAGCTTTTGTTCCCTATTTTACTTTAGGTTTGCAACAGTTTGTATGTATAGAATGAGAATTATGCATATAATTGCCTAAATGAAATGCAAATGGTACGGAGTTCCTTATTTTCTTGATTGCCACGGGGTTGAATTACATCTGTTATGTGAAGCACTGAGAGGACACTGTGAAGCTCTTATCTACTTATGCTGATGATTAAATCAAATACTAGTGTTATAATTGATAGGAATGTCGTATCATTGTTTGGCATGCTATATTTGTTACTTTTGTATCTCTATGTTGCTTAAAAGATTTCTTCCCTTTGTAATTTCCGTGTGGCAGGACAATCAATTCATTGACATGTTTTACAAAGCATTGCTGAAAGTGCATCAATTGTGATTGCTTTAATGGCGATGACGACATTGTAGATTTCAGATTCCACGGAAGGATCAATGTTTACATATATGCAGCATTGTTTACATAAAATGTTGGGAGTTAGCAGTTTCATCTTCCACAGAAAGGGTTGTGTCTTGCTTGGTACAGTTTCTTCTTATTTAAACATCTCCATCATTTTGAATTTCATGCTGCGATGAAATTACACGCCTCGGGATTGAATGAATTTTTCTTGTTGATTGATAATTCAGGTAGGGTCGACGTGTCTTGGAATTAGCATTGGTTAGAAAGAGATCTGTATATCAATTTTATTTCATCTTTTAGGGTAAACCACATTGAATATCTACACTGGAAGCTAGTATGCTTACCCGTTCTTTCGCAAATTCCTGTTTGGATTTTGACAATTCAAGCGTTTTCAAATGATTTTGAACTTGTAGGTGAAGGCATAACTGTGCATATTGTTTCTCTATGTTGCTAAGGATTGAATTGTTCTTACTACCTTCAGAAAGTTTGTTTCAGTGTACCACTTCACCCCCCCACCCTCCCTCTCTGAGAGACGTAGCTACTTTTCAACTTTTTCGGGAAAAATGTGGGCATGTGTTTTGGAAGCGATAAACTTGCCCAAGGGGCTGGGATTTATGTATCCTATCATTAGAGCAAAGGTCTTTGACTTAGCGTGAGGGATGGCAGTGAGGGATGGCAGTGAGGGCGGGGATTAAATCCCCCTTTAAATATGATTTAACTTAAAAATAATATAAAATAATGTTGTTGGATTTGTAGAATGAATTAAGCTACGTTGTCAAAAAATATTGATATTCTAGTTGACAAATGTATTGGTGGCAGAAAATGATTGGATGTAAATGTTGATTGTTTTTGAAACATTCTGTCAAGGAAGATGTCAAGCTTTTTTGACAATGTAGCATGGTTTTCGGAGAATTCAGGTGCAGACCATGTTGACCGTCTCCGTCACTTTACTAGTGGGGACAAGAATTTTGTGGCTGGTGTGCAGGGCTGGGATAGCAATGTTTGGCATTTAGACTTGTTTGTTTATTAAAAATTCAGAAAGCTTTGAGGTTTATTTTTTATAACAGAGTTTCCCTTTCAGCAAAAGGTGAATATTTGTTTTTCAATTTGCTTATCTATGGTCTTAGGTCTATACTATTTTAATTTGTTATTTTATTATATTCTAATTATATATTTTTTTTCTTTCTTATTATTTGTTTAGTTATACATTTTTATACTTTTGATCTAGACTAGATCACTTTAGTTTAAAAATTTCAGTGCAAATGTTGTTATGAAATGTGAAAATTATTAAATGCAGTTTTTAACTAATATGATTGACAAATAATTAACAACTCAACATAAATAAATATTTTAAAATAATTTAATCTAGGTAATTCAAAATTAATTAAATTTTCAGCTAAATTAAATGACATTATCTCTATTTTTTGTTAAAACTCTTGACATTTATACTTTGTTAGTATTAGAAAATTGAAGTAATATTATCATTACATTAATAATAATAATAATAATAATAATAATAATAATAATAATAATAATAATAATAATTGGCCTCAAAAGTGTGTAGCTTAGATTTCTTTTTAATTCATTTTTGTAGTATATATCTTAAATCAATTAGAAATCAAAAATCACAAAAATATGATTCAGTGATGACTCTATATAGAAAGATTTTAAAAGAAGAACCTTTTTAAAATTAAAATAGTGATACTAAAAATATTACAATTAAGAAATCAAATATAAACATAATGAGAGAACAACAACTGTACTGCTAAATAGCATTATTAGCTGACGGATGTCAACATTTTTCTTTTTTCTTTTTTCTTTACTTGCTTTCCTTGAAAAACGAAACGAGTCAAACGATACTCTATACAACCTCTTCCACTCGTGGCTTTGTTCATCTTGTCATTTGCAGAGAAACAGAGTATAAGCTAACATTTTACGTCTTTTCACAATCAACAATATGTACTAGCAGGTGTTCATAAGTGATCGGCTTTCACTGATGATCACGAGCCGACGAGTACATAAGAATTCGTCGAACCCTTTTCATTTGCCTTCCACTTTTGCACCAAAAGTGTTCCAACTTCGACTCACCTTGAGAAAGTTATGGAAATGGAGAGCCAGGTTAAATTCCACTAGATGCTGAGAAATGACCACCATTTTCATATCGGCCTGGTTTTAAATCCTGTTGCCAACAGCTTGGCATACAGAAGTTCATTCCAAGTGTCAGGCACTCCAGGTAGACACCAATGGCTGCAGTCTTGTGGTGCAGTGATTGAAGTACCTGGTTCGCGGTGGTTTGATGGATGACCATCTTTCCTAAATTCAGTTAAATACGTTATGTTCAAGAAGTGAACATTTCTCTTTGCACTTTCCATTTGTTTGATTACTTCGTAAATAAATATATTGTTTCTTGGTTCTGAGTTCAGCCTTTTGTAGTTTGTTTCTGGTTCTATATTCAAATTACAATGACCACCTTCATTCCATTCTCCATCCCTGCAATTTCACATCAGATATCGTAAATTACATAAGCTAGTTGAAGTAGATAGATTCGCCGTAGAATCCATCCCGTAATGTATAACTAACTTGCCTGTAATGTATTGGCGAATAACTGCGGAAGAAGATAAGGCTCTTTTCGGGCTCTAAATTTTGCATCAACCACGACTTCAACGTGTTTAGAGATCTTCGGAAGGCTTCCATTACATCCATAGTCACGTTCACACTTTTTCCTTCCTGGAAAAAATGTCCCCTGAAAGACGAACAGATTCTTAAAGCTACACGAATAGACTAAAAATATGGAAAGTTGGGTAAAAATACAATGCCAATGACTCAACTCATCGGAGTTTTATGTTAGTGATCGAATTGGATAAAAATTAGATTTTTAGTAAATTTTTGATAAAAATTGGTGAAATGTTGTAGTTGAAAAGTTTATAAAAGTTGTGTCCCCCCATGAAATATGTGGTTGAAAATTATTTTGGAGAAGAATGAGTTTTAAGAAATGAGAGCCAAATGGCTAAATGTAATACTAGTCTCTACTAATCCTCCATTTTATAATGGAATGCTTGATTTGACTTAACTAAAATAAAAAGTAAATTTGATACCTCTTGATAGTTTTGTCTTGATTCCACCAATGACCAGCGCTGAATACAAAAACATTCGCTCCAACCCATTTAGTGGAGAACCAATGCAGTTTATCGACCCTAACCACACCGGTAACTTCCTTGGACGAATTTTTTGGTGGGCGATCAATGACGACTAAATAAGGCATTCTGTAGTATTCGACAGTGAGATTGTATTCTTGGAATCGAATTGACAAGAAGCCCTTATGTTTCGTTATTGGGTTACCATTTTCCTCGTATACCGTAGATTGATTTGAAACTCCTTGTGTGAGCATGCATATTAGGGATTCCCATTGATTTCTTCCAATGGAATCGCCGGCGAAAACAATCCGACCATTCTGGCTACGCCGGAGAAAGTCTTTTGCATCAAATCTGTCCAGGATTAATTGATAACTTATGAGTAAAAATTAGTTATTTACTTTTAAGTAAACTTGTAAGTTTTGTAAAATAACTTGTGAAGCTAGCCACGGCAGTCACATCTGACATAGGGTTCTCATCTGTGCTATAAGTGAGAAGGTAGCCCACATATCCTAAGCAATTGATGTCAAATTCGACAATATTCATGTGAAAAAAAAGGAAAGTGATTGAATTTAGGACACTTTATATAAGCTCAAACACAAATGTGAGTTGTATAATAATTACGATTTGCTCATTTTGCATATTTTCTACTTTTCGAGAATTATGAAAAAGTAGAGTTGTGAACTGTAAAATTATATTCATACTAAAAAATTTACTTTACCTACTCATTTGTTTGGTTGCTTTACTATATAGTACATGCTTCTGTTCGTGCATACAGGGTACTGATGAAGCCAGCAAGGTGACACATGATTGTACTGACCATCGTATGGATAAATAAATGAAGCTAATTGTACATCATAAAGGAACTTAATTGAATAGCTACGTACAAAAAGGAATATAAACAAGTATTGAACTATAAAGTGTTTCGACAGATGGGGAGAAAGAGATATTCATCTGTATTGTCAAAATAGATCAACAAATGCATTCAGTTCCACCGAAGGTGACGAAAGTGCGTCGTAATGTATGGAGGAATGCAAGATAACTCTATCCATGCCATTAAATAATAATAATAATTATAAAAGATTCACTTGTTGGAACTTGGAACTCTTGAAACGAAAGGTACAGTCAATTTCAGTCACGTGCCAGAACGTAAAGGTTGAAACTTTTAATCATTTATATAAATATAAATAAGTTGTAGTTGGAAAATAATCTATCGACTCATTTTATGCATAGGTGCAAAGGGTCAATTGGTACGCATTTTATCGTTGACAATTAGTAACGGCATCATGTGATTATATTAAAAAAAGTACAAATTAATGTATTAAAATTTTCATAGCCTTGAGAAAATAAATAAATCAAAATTAAAAATACTAATCATCATTCTCAATAATGGCATTTGCATGATTCAATAAAGCTTGTACAAGTTGTAGCGCATGCAGTGCCTTTCAACAAGATGGAAGACAGTGAAAAGTAGCACTTATGAATGGATATCATCATCGATATAGTCGATGACAAAATTTATTACTGAAAAAAAAATTAAAATTTTAATCATACCTTGGAAGATGACAATCTTCGGGTTGCCATCGCCACTTTTGATAATCTGAATCCTTTCGACCATTTTGTTGACACCGGAATCCAGGATCCAATAATGGACACTTCTCTGTGTATCTTTGACGAGATTGAGTTTCGTCGCGAACCCATTTTCCATAAGAGTAGTCACAAGTTTTTGAAGTTTTGCTTAGGATTTGGGACAAGTAACCTATATCGATGAGAGACCTCGGCTGCAAAGGTCTTAGGATGTTATAACAAACAACAGAAGAAAGGATCAAAGAGAAAAATAACATTAATAGAGAGACTTCTTTCTTGATTGGATTAGAGAAAAAAGGTAGCTTTTGGTCCATGGAGGGCAGATCAGAGGACTCAAAATCCATAAGAAGAGGAAGAAGAAAGGGTCTTAGGTTGAAGAGTTCTTGCGGGTTGAGGCTCTGAGAGAGAGAGAGAGAGAGAGAGAGAGAGTTTGTGTCTTTTATGGCTGTGATTGGGTAGTTGAAGAGTTCTTGCGGGTTGTGGGCCTGTGGCTCTCTACTTCGTATATGGAGAGAGAGAGAGAGTGTGTGTGTGTGGGGCTGAGATTCCGTTAAATAAGGTAACTTAGAAATTTATAGGGCAAATTAATTATTTTCCTGATCTGGTGGATAGTAATTTATTTTATTGGGAAACTTTGTTTGGAGTTTTTTTTTTTGGTGGATAGTAATTAATTATTTTTCTCATAATGAAGGCAATAAATCATTAGATTTGCCTAATTTATGTTAGGTAGATAACACTCGTGCAATCAAACAAAGTTTTACGTGTGATGGAAGTCAATAATTAGATTGGCACAAGACACGGAAGCAGAATTGGTTTCTTGAAATTAAGAAGAAAAATTAAAAATCGAAATGTTCGTAAGAATAATTTGATTGTATTAAGGAGTGGTAATTAAAAAAGTAGACAAGCTTATATTTGTATATGTAAATTAGTTCACTAATCCTAATGACTAAAGTAATTAAAATTCTAAACGTGGTAAATATAAAATCCAAAAAAAAAAAAAATTCTTAATCTAAAAGAAACAAGAAATCCTATTCTAAATAAAAAAGGAGAAAAAGAGATAAAGTTCAATTACATAGAAAATTACAATTTTATTCTCTAATTTAAATAATTGAAAAGGCAAAAAGAAGACAATTTCATATGCTACGATCATTAATAAATCCATGAAGAATCTTTAAGCACGAAAACTCACTGATATTCATAGTTAATTCCTACAAAAATCAATTACTGTATGCTATGCAATAAACCTAGTAAATATTCTTTGTGTTAGTTTGTTTAAAAAATAAATAAAAGTTCGCCTAAAAGAGAGAGGGGAAAAGAGAGAATGTACATCGAATGGGAAGAATGATCCTTGTTAGAACTTCATGTTCTCCTTCGAACCACCATATGCGACGCCATTATTTCTCTTTATTGGTTTAGGGTTCTGATTCCATGGAGTAAAAAAAGAGTCACCATGCTCAGGAAAAGTCATGAATTTCAAGTAATCTGTATTGTCTAGTCTTTTCGTCTCCTCGTCACAATCAAGAAAATCTAAGTATTTCATGAAATCTATGGTGTACAAATTGTTTGCCTCGTCTTCTGGTGTACGAAACGAGTAATCCCATTGATGAAAATCGACTGGCCTTCTTCTAGTTTCAGAAACCAACTCTTTGTAGAAAAGGTGGGTGCTATATTGTGGAATTTGATAATAGAAGTCATAAAATCAGACCGGGGGCATGTCGTACTCTCCGTACCCATACATGTGATCACCAAAATACAAATTCATAATTGTTCACAAAACATTTTTATCGGAGTTCTTGTTGATGCTTCGAATATGTAGAGTTATTTTTTCAAAGAATTAATCGCCCAAGAGATAGTATTTGATTGAAATAATGATTTTGGGGAGTATCATGTTTTAAATATACTCGGAAACATAAGGATGTCCTTTTCTTAGTTTCATTGAGGACAACAAAAGGAATGCAAATGTCCATTAATTCTCCCTCGATAATTGGTGTTTGTTTTGGAGTACAACTCAAAAACGTTGGCCAACCCAATGGCAATTTCTTTTTGCTTTTTTTAATGAATAATGAGGAAATTACATGGAGGCAGGTGTTTAAAGTTTTAAATTCAAAAATCAGGGACCAAGTTTCATTTTTTCAAAATCATAATTAATTAAATTCATATCTGATTTTTGAATTTTCAAACTATTTACCAATTGGTTAGATATGAAATTTTCCCGTGAATAATTAAAAGGAAAACTAATGCCCAACCCAGCACCCAGCCAAAGCAATTAGGCACAGCCCACATGCCCAATCCATTTCATTCCAAACTGCGACGGCCAGAAATTCCCAATTTCAATTCATCGCCTCCGCCTCCCGGTCCCGAATCCTGATGCTCCTCTCTTCCTCACATTTGAAATACCCATTACCCACTCCTTCAAGAAGAACGGCTGAACCTGTTGCTGCTCCCGCTCGCTTGAGCCTCCGTCCCTGTTCGACAGTTAGAGCCCTAGACGGGGAGTCCGCGACCGCTGGGAACCGACGATTCTTCCTCAATCGGCACTCGGCAACATAGGTGAAGCCCTTAACAGTTAACCCCAAATCTGAAATTCTGAAATTCATTGATAATTCTAACTGATGGCTTTGTTTCAGATTCTTGAAGAGCTTCAGCTAGGCAGGCAGCAGCTCTTGACTTCCCACTACAAGGTTGATCACAGATTTTTATTGCCAGTGTAAATTTTGTGTGAAAATTCAAGTTTTTGGAGTGTGCAAAAATGTGAAAATTTTCAACCAATAAAAAACCAAATTGAAAAATTTGAATTATAGGTGTTAATATGAAGCAAGGTAGTTAAAGATTTTGCTCAGATTCAACTTGATAAAAAATAGTTTGAAGAGAATATCTTTTGTTTTCAAACTTATCAAATCCTTTAATATTGTTTTTGTTATAGTATTCATATATTCTTTTTACATAGGAGAAATGTTTCCTGTATTTTTAGTGTTTGGACATTAAATTTTGAAGTTCACATTTCCACTTTGCAATGTTGAAATTACGAGTGCTGAATTTTTCATTGCGGCAAATACATTGTGGCAGTATAGTTTCATTCCATATGTTCATAATACTATTGGATGGAGGAGGGATTAAGTGCTTATCATGTGCAAATAATAATATTTTGGTATGGATCATATGACTCTTTTATTGAGAATTCTGTTTTATATGGGATTCGAAAGCAGTTGAATTGCTGTCATGTTACCCTTTTCTGCTTTAGAGGTTGTACATTGGAAGATATTTAATTTAAAACCTTTTCTACGCTCTACGTGATCTCTCACTCAAAATCCAATGCAATTAGATACTTCTCAGCCACTATTGATACAAAGAAACATTCTTATAATTATTTGATTTTGTTTTTTATGAGGAGTTGTACATAGTGCCATCAGAGAGTTCTTGTTGTTTTGCCAACGATAATGGTTTGCTTTGATAATTAGTATCGTCGTAATATTGTTTTATATTTTTATCATCATTATATCCATAACCAAAGACTTGTCGTTCAACATCGATAAATTATGCCCACATTGAGTTACTTTCGTGGCTCCGCCCCTGGTTTTAACTTATCCAAATTTGTTAGAAAATATAAATGTCCTTACACCTTAATTTTAAATAACTTTTAAACGTAGTCAACTATATTTGCTTGTTTGGCACCCCCATCATTGATGCCACACCAACAAAAAAATCAGATCTAAAATAAAAGAATCATTACCACTTCCTTGTTTCGGTAGGAAGAAAACCCCATCCTCCAAGGTACACTCTGAGTCAAGCGTGCTAGAATCAATGGCAAGGTCATAGGAGGTGGGTCTCGGAGGTGGAGAAGATGTCGTATGAAGCGGAGATAGAAGAATTAAGGTGGTGCTGAAGACAATTTACAGAATTCGATAAAGAAGCCATTTCCCAACATAAAAAAGAGGCAAAATTGGATAAATGCGACCAAAAAAAAAAAAAATTAAACGGGGGTGGAAGTGCAGCAAGTTGTAATATTTGAAGACTTAGTATAATTGATCGAATCAAATCCAAATGAATATAGGGATAATAGCATATTTGATTTCTGAACGTCTAATAACGTAAAGTGTGTAACCATAAAAATAGCTTTAGACATCTCAACATTTAAAGTAGAGATGGTATTACCATCTTTGATGATAGAATTCGTCTATTTCAACGATTAAGGTAAAATAAAAAGACAACATTACCCTCTCCTTTCAAATAGGTATGGAGGTGTGGATTTGACCTCGAATGCTCGATAGAATTTTGAGGATTAATTAGAGAAAAAACTTATGTAGGGACAAAAGATAAAAGGTTGGGAAAATTCTGCAAAGATTTAAAAAATGATGACTTTTTTGCACATTTTTGTAAAGGTTAGTGACCTTCGCTGCAATTTTCATAATGGGAAGTTGACGTGTAGCACATTTGGTGGTTAAATATTAGATTTTGATTGACACATAGATAAACAAATAAAATAAAATAAAAGAAGGAAAAACTGTAAAACAACAAATCCAACGCCTAATGCAAAGTCTGCAACAATGGTTGGCAGTTTCTCCATAAAATTCTAGGCAACTTAAGGTGTGTACTATGTCTTGCTGGGTAGTTGTCTTTAAGGGTTGATTTATATGAAGTGAAAAGTTGAAGTCTTTTTAAGTGTTGCCTTTATTTACCTCAAAAGAGTCTTACCGACTATAAATCTATGATTAATTTTCAATTTCAATTCTTGATAGCAAAGCAATTTTTTTATCTTTTAAACCCCTTTGTCTCTGATTCATGTTTATCGCCATCTCCTGTGAAGAAATTTCAATTTGTTCTTAAAATTCACAATGGGTCATGTTCTTTCAGCATTTTGCTTTCTGTAATAGCTCATAATGCTTTTACCATGTGTGTTATTATTGGTATTCTAATGCTTTTACCATGTTATACTATTGGATTTATGATTCGTTTACCATGTAATACCATTCTTTACTATCTGAACCAATTAGTTTTGTGGCTTGCTTTTATATGCATTTTGAAGGTGCACAACATGCTTGATGAATTGTCTCAATGAGTAAATTGTGTAAGAAAAGCTAAAAAGCCTTTGCTGACTGCAACAAACCTGTTTTTATTTCTTCACTAATAGAAAGTTATAAAATTATAAAACCAGTAGGAATGAGAGATTAAAATTACAATCATTTTCAGTCTCTTGACCAAGACTGAAATACTCTTGTAGTGGAAATAGAAGGATAGCTACATATAAGCAAAACATTTCCTTGTGTTATATTTATCTTGTTTAACATTTTTGTTCCATAAGCAGGATTATACTAAACGAGTAGTCGGCATGAAGCTGAAGGTAGCATGCAGGAAAATTTACGACTATGTCCGCCATGATCTCAAAGAAATAGCATTTCCTTCGTCTTTGCCGGATCCCCCTCACATCAAAAAACGTCACAAACTTACTTGGAAAGAGCGTTTCCTTGTGAGTTCTTTTTTACGTTGAAACTTATCGATTTTATATGCTAAATGTATTATAAAGTCTGTTTTATATATTAGTCATGAAATAATTTTGCTCTGTGTCATCATGTATTAGGTATTGAAGGAAGCGTCTAGACTTTATGCAGCTAGCTGGGTAAGGGATATCGGTCCAGACCTCAGGCCGAATGACTACAAAAAGGAAGAGAGGAAAGATGAATCCAACGGGGAGAAAGGCACAACAAAGGATAGGGAACCGTCGACCCTAGAGGATCTTGGTAAGTAATGGTACAAATTATTGTTTTGATATGAAATTTTCAATTATTTCAGGGACTATGATCGGCAGAAAACCAAAAAAATACGATGCTTTACAGTTTCAAAGCAGACATGTTTAATTTCTATACCATTGCTGTCAAAAATTTAACCGATGCTACTATTTAGGAAAGTACAAGAAGACATAAATCTAGAGGAAAGTGACGTGCTAAAGACTTTCACACGTGGGTTGAGTTTTATTTCTTTTTTACTCGGTGAATTTGATGACTAAATAATATCACATGAATTAAAAGGTTGCATAGATATTCAGAGCTTACAATTTTCAAGAGGGTTAAGACCGAGCCGTGTCACAGATGAGAGATCAAGATTCAAGCTTTCCTTGTAGTTGTCTTTATTGTGGCATGCAATTTATTATACAGATAACATTTGTGCCTGTTTTTAGCAGATATAGAAGTATATGGGAATTGAACTATTACCAGTGATATACTAGTGATATGGTTGAAGGGAACAATCCATTGTGCAACTCCATTTTAAATGATGCTGAAATTTTCATATACAACTATCTTATTGATGCAACGGTTCCATAATATGCATTGTTCTCCACGGGAGGGGATTGTGATGTTCAACAAAACACTTAAAAATAAAAAAAATCTAGGGTTAGAATTTTGATGAACTTTATCTAAAATGGTGGACAAGTCCCCTTGTTTGGCTCCATTTTAACGTATTAATGGGGAAAATGTATTTTGAAATAGTGTTTTTTTTTTTTTAAAGAATGTGTGGTTAAAAAAGAAGAAAAAGTCTTGGGTTTACGTGTAATACTATTTTATTGGAGAGGATAGAGAAAAATGTAATTTAGATAAAATGAAGGCCAAACATGGGCTTTAAAAGGTTTTTCATCTCTATCTCTCTACATCTTTTCATTTTCTCTTTTTTTCTTTGGATTGTGAGGGAATTTTGATTATGCCAATGTGTTTTCCATCCTGAGTTATGATTCATGTTCACTTTTTGTTTATGGGCATTGAGTTCGGTTTTACTTTGAACACAATGGACAGCTGTTGCTGCAAGGGGGGGAATGGAGACATTAAGGCCTGCATTGCAACGGGTTTACATGACAAGAGCTTCGGCTTATAGGGATGCTCTCAGAAGCTTTATTGAAGGTTATCAAGAAGGTATACAAGAAGTCATGGAGAAGAAGGAAGATTCTAAATCTCAACCTGGAGAGGACACTCCAAAAGGACCTATATGACCTCTCTGGAACTTGGTGAGTTCATGTTTGCATATTTTTAATTAGCTCATTATTTATGGTTTTTCTGCTTAACTATGTTGAGAAAATATAAATATGAAAAATCGTATCCCTAGTCTCCTTACTTTGATATTTTATAAACAAACTACGAAAACCATAAACACAGTAAAATCTATGATAAGCAATATCTTTGTGCCATCTTTATTAGTGTGTGAAAAGGGGAAAAAAGCTAATTCCTGCAGTGTCCTGTGTTTATTATGTTTTTTAGCACTTAATAGACAACAGATGCTATTATTATATTGTTATTTGTATTGCATTGCCAATAAAAATACTCACAGAAGTTTGCATTAATAGACTTGTGGAAATGTAGTGCAAAATGCCAAAGCTCAATTTAATTACTCTATTCAATACAAAATGAAATTTTTATTCCATTATCCATAGAAAAGATGTAATTTAGGATCAAGTTGTATGTAATCTGATTTAGAGCAGTCGTTTGGGTGAAGGTGAATAAATGAACATGACCAATGGATCTGGATGGATTGTGTGTTCGAGGGAAGCAGTGGTAGGAAACATACAGTCGGCAAAGGCAATAGAAAAATCAAGGGGTGGGGTGGGGTGGGGTGGGGTGGAGATGGGAAACATTGGTACTAGGAATATCTTACTATGTATGGCAAGGATTTGTCTCCTATGAAGTGTCATTAAATAACCTTCTTCAAGCTTTTGAGCCACTCTTTTACATGAATTGTTTGTGTAATCACGAACTGAAATTCATGATGAGAATTAGCATTAGTTTCCAATAAGAATGGTCGTTGTGGTTGATGTACCCACCAAGTGGGATGCCTACTGCGCTAATTGGTGGAGACTGTGTGGGTAGGATTGCTGTAAAGTAGCTGCTTAATAAAGTCTTTAAAATACTCGGGTATTGTGGGTCTTTCGTCTCCCCATAATTCATCCGTGACATCAACTTGGACTAATTATACTTGCATCATTAGTGCTAATCTTACTCATTTCATAGTTTCTTGCCCTAAATGGAAGGTAGTAACTTGTCCTACCTTGTGATTCAGTAATCATCTGGATGTTCATACGACTATTATTTTCTAGGTAGTAATACTTTTAAGATCTTCCTTTGCAGCCAAAAGCAGCTTTTTGTAATGTTGGGTTCAACTAAGGAGATCTAAAGTCAAAAGTCTGATAAGGGAAAATCATAGACAGATTTTAAAGGAAGCAAATAATTTCATGGTTTTTCATAAAAAAATTTTGGGGCATCAATGTTAGTCATATCATTTCAAAAGGAGTCCCTTCAGGTATGTGAATCATTGGTACTGTAAAGCCACTTATCCCATGTATCTGGGGTCCCTCCAAGTTGCAGAAGCACTAAAATTCATCACCACTATCTGCGAATGTCAACCGGTATCTTTCTTCTGTTGATATTTCTGGGTCCAGATGATAACACGAAACTCTGACTAATTAGTCACCGTGTACCGCTACTTCCCTTCACATTGGTCGTTCCCGTTTTGCCGCCCTCTAGCTTGCAACTTGTATTGGACGTGACTTTACTATTGTAATGCCTGTAGCCACTACCATGTATTTACTAATGCCTTGCAGAATTTCATGCCCTATATTCTGGAACCTTTTTTCTTTTCATTGTATACTAATATTATTCTGGTATTTTCATATGTAACATGGCCATGAACACGGTGATTATTTAGGACGTGGAAATGAGATTGTGGTAAATTGATGCGTTTAGTATTTGTCATTTGACTTATGTAGCTCAGTCATGTTTGGAGATGTCACATCATTGTTATGTTTTCTCCGTTCATCTCGAATGTGGACATCACTTCTGAAGTCTGTTAATGTGCAGTCCACTTTATTGTGAATCTGTTGTTTGGAACATTGAATCTAGGGATCAAAGACTGTTTAATTTTCAAAAGTGGAAGATCCATATTTAGTAATCCATTGATGGAATGAATTCCAATTGGTTCTTCGCTTTGAGACGATAAGGTATTTGAATTAGGCAAAAAAAGTCTCATTCAGACAACCAGGACTATACAATCATATTTTGAGTTAATACAATGCAGGTTCCACTGTACGTGTAGAAAACATATACATCTTTGGTACACAACATCGGATATGATTAGAGAAGAAAGTTGACGGAACAATTTAGCTGACTTGCTCAATTCCGTACTAGGTGGTAATCTTAGCCTATTTTTGGCTCGTGTTTATAAACATTTTAGTTGACTTGTTCAATTTCTTTTGTGCATGTTCTTAGACATAATAATAAACATGCTCTCTTGTATCAAAAGCAGTCATAAATCACTATATTTCGTAAACATTACCGAACGTATTGACTCACAAGAATTACGGCACCAAACAACTAGAATCGAGATTTCATCATTTCTAGAAATAAACTTTAGTACATATATTCAAGGGGAAAAAATAAAATAAAAGCAGCCTTCCAATAGGTTACGGAAAAATGGAAGTAATTGCAATAGAGGGGAAGGAGAGGTTGCTTGTACCGCTGGCTAAGTAACCTTTTTTTTACCTACCATTGCAATTTATATAGTTAAATGAGTCTGAAAAATCTTCAGGCAGAATCTCTACAGTACCAAATGGCAACATGTTGATTCTTAATTGCAGTGATCCATATTCTATCATGTTGGGACCTGATCATGTCAGTTTCATATCTAGTGGGACCCGTTGCCACTCCCATTCCTCAAGTCTCTTTCAGGTTTCACCTTCATTTTCACTTGGAATTCTACCCTTTCCCTCTGAACCAGGAGCAGCAGAAAAATCCCTACTTTTTCTAGTGAGAGAAAGTGCCCACAAAATCTGGGATTTTGATTTTCTTCCCATTTTCATTTTTTTTCTTCATTTTCTTGAAATATAAATATATATTTGTGGTGTTCAATGTTCACCTTTGAAATGGCTGAACACGTCAAATTATGCAGTAGTGTCACATCCACAGATCTTATCCTTGGCGATATAGATGATCATCTCCAGTGAAATTGATATCCTGTTCCAACCATACAATACAATTATTAGCTGCTTGGTAGTGTAAGTGTGACCATATGTACAATATTACAGCATTGAAGACCATCCCTAGTGGACCACGTTTGCTTAATTTCTGATGGAGATGGCTCAGTTATTGCTTCATGGGTTGCACGACACCCCTCTCTGTGTACAAAACCTAGTTGAATCTTGATTGGCTCCGATTTGGTTCAAAAATAGTCTCATTACTCGGCAAGTTGACTCTACACTTGTTTAACAGGAGACTAAGAAGTTTTTTTTTTAAACATATTTGGATAATGTTCTGAAATGCTTGGTTTGACTCACAAAACTCTTATACTGGAAGCGGAAGTAAAATTAAAAGTTCCGACAAACGAACCCTCTATCATCTTGCAAAGTGGCACTTTTATTTCACCCCTTGAGCAAATATTATTACATAATGGTTCATGGAACAAACAAGAAAGTAGGTGCCTAAAGGGTTGATGTGATAATACATACTAACTTTAAAACCATACCTCATTTGGCAAATCTCATAAAAATGCATTTCAACATATATCTCACATCTTTAAAAAGATTTTCTTTTGAGGGCAAATTACATGTGGCTATGTATTATTCAATATTACGTACTAAATGTCTGATAACCTGTTTGGCAGGACTTAAATTTTGTGCACAGAGAGAAAATGACCCGAACACGAAGTCCTATTAAAAAAATTGTTCATTGATTCCATTAAGGAACATTGCTTGTTTAACTTGACTACTAGTGATCCATAAATGTTAGATAAATGTCTTTCAGCCTTATCTAGAAAAAAAGTGACTGTATATATAATTAAATTAACAATAAGCAGAATTAATTAGTGGAGCTTTTTGTATCTGTTTCGCTGAAGGAAACAGGAAAATCAAACTAGGAAATTGGACAAGTCGCGTCTTTATCCTCTTCCAGAACTAGTAAAATAAAACATTTGGTGTACCATGCGATTGTAGCGGTGAGATTGGGGGTAGTGGGCTTGACCCTGGCTCGACATGGGTGAACCACCAGGTGTCGACAACTCGGGCTCGGGCTCATCTGCTTGGCATTCCAAGTTCACACCAAACAATCTCAGCTTCTTGGAGTTCCCACTGCCTGTTGTCTGATTCTGCATTGCTGATCCTGTTGTAACAACACGTGTGGCATGAATCTAATAATCAAACAATGAACAAACTTTTGTGTATCTATCAACACACAGTCACACACACGTGTGTGTGCAGTGCAGCTACTTAGAATTGTACACAATAGTCTATAGCTACATGTAACAAAATTGGTACACAACAGTAGTGTACTAAAAAGTTCGAAAATACTAAGAATGTCCTTTTTTCCACTGGTATGAATCAATTTCATAAAAAGATTACTGGGTTTCCATGGAAAATAGAGAAGTGTTCATCACGCAAACCTACTGCGTGTAATCTGCGTGAAATAGTAAATTGGAAAAAACAAAAAGATGAGGTTTGTAATGTAATGCACAGAAAACGATACCTGCATGAAGACAGTCAGGTTGGTACAGGAGAGGGGGAGTAATCCCTTGCTGCTGGGTCGGATAAGGATGGCCAGAATAGAAATGGTTCCACCCACCACCGGTGGTGACAGCCGTAGACGGTGGTAGAGCAACAGTTTTGCGCCTCCACCCTATGAAAAGCCGAGTACAGTCCAAACGGTGGCGCTGGAAAAGAACAATATCACCAGCATCAAGCTTCTTTTCCTTCACAAAACGGCTCCAACCTTTTGTTAATACATAGCTCTGGCTGCTGTTCCAGTAAGAGTACCGGAACCTCCAAGATTTTCCAAGTTCATCCTCAAATCCTAATAGAAAACCCTTATCTCCCGAGTCGCCGCCGTTAAGAGGAAAGTATTTTTCAGCATGTTGTTTTGGTATAACAAGGCGGTTGAGCTTGCCCACATCACTAGGAGTCAATGGCTTCTCAAATAATGCTTCTTTAGGGATTTCATTCTCCTGTAATTCTTCTTTAGAATTATTCTCTCTCTCATCATCAAATTCTTCTTCTTCTTCGTTTAAATTGAAGCCAAAAGCTGTGTTCTTGCTGTAAAACATAGCGGCAGAGGCGGTCTCGGTACCTTGGTTAGAAGATGAGGTTTTTGCAGTATGTTGTTGGTCTGTCCACCAGTATTCTTCTGGTAGGTCTGAAGAGTATTGGTTTATTGACATTTTAGAGAGAGAGAGGAGAGATTGTTTTATAGAGAAGAGTGTGTGTTGTGATAATCTGAAATTTCTGAATAGTTATGTAGAATGGGCATGGAGAGCGTGGGATATGATTATTGTTTTGATGTGGAAATGTACTAGCAGCAGGTGGAAATAGATATGTAGACATAAATAAGTGTGTGTATATGCAGAGAGAGAAGGAAAATGGGGTGGGGTGGGGTCTTTAAGGTTTTGCGTGAGAGGAAAAATCAATCATTATTTTGAATGCAAGAAAGTTACGCTGCATGTGCAAAGTTGGTTGACAAAATAATATTTACACCAATCATTTTAAAAAATAGATTTTTAAATCATTTGAACTCAACGGTGGATTTTGCCAACACACTTTATAACATAACTTTTATAACTCAATTTTGTACAAATAACTTTATTGACACGGAAATTAGGTTTAATGGGTTCGTTGTACACGTCTTGGAAAAATTACAGATGGGATCCCCATTCTATTGAAAATGAAGTAAGTAGATCCTCAACCTAATACTTCTATTGTTTCATAAATCTTTTGAAGACTCAACTCTACTACAAAATGAAAGGTTAAAGATTGCAGCCATCAAAATAATAAGTTGATGATATACCTGCTACATTTTGAATAGAGTAGAAACCGAAATTATAATTTTTTTCAATTGTATCATGAATCTTGTGAAGGAGAAGAGATTCCAATTTCCTTCTTACAAACACTACCCATGTACATACATACATACATATTTATGTACACATATACATATATATATGTGTATACGTACAATTGTTTCAAGTCTCACATGAAAAGAGGCATTTTTAGTAATAATTTAATAGTGAGCGGTGGGGTGACGGATTTGAATTCAAGAGTTTAATCGGTTGCTAGAAATACTTTAAGATTTCGATATCATTTTTGTAAGCTTATAAAAAGTCATACCTCACAATGAATGAGGGTTGGTGTCCTCTATAGAATACGTGAAATAACATCTGGATATTTAGCACTTGTCTAATATTTATTTTTTAAAATTCATTTTCAATCCTACGTTTTATGGGACTTGCAACTTTTATTAATTTTTTTAATCACATATTTCATTATTAATTTTAGAAAAATCTAAATTTTTTTTTTTCGAACCAAACATGGGCTTAGATAGGTCTTAACTTACCTTGATTATGTTGGCAAGTTATATTTACATCCCTAAAATCATAGAATACCATTTTCTCATTGGAGTGGAATACATTGATCTCGAGTTCAACACCTTCTAAGTTGTGTTGACTTCCACCCAATTACTCAGAGTTCATTTGGTATGTTTTTCGCTTTTGCTTACTGTTGAGAAGCTTTCTGGAAAAGCTACTTTAATTTTGGAAAAATTGCAGTCAAGGTACCAAATATTTCAATTTTATGCAGACTTGACCTCTCAACCATTCTTTTGGTATGCTAATCAAATAAATAACATAATAAATAAATAAATTAAGGCTTTATTACTTCGAGAAAAAAATGTGCATGGAGGTGGGGGGAAACAACTACTACAGATGCCGAAGGAGATTGCGTAGGCTGGAGGAGGTTGCGGAAGGAAATAAGGGAGTGGAAGAATGACGATTAATGAGAGTAAAACGGCAAGAAATAAGATTTGTCCAATAATAAGATGATCCCTCATTGCATTCGTATCTCAATTCTCTCCTCATCTCACTTTGGCATATCTAGAGCTATGTAACAAAGAATGCACGTGCACTAAAATTCTTATAGAATTGCACAAAAGGTTGGACTTGTTGGACATACCATAATATTCTAAAAATAAGGGTCAAACAATTACAGGAAATAAAAAAAATTTATAGAGTTCAAGACGAGTCTCGTGGGTCCTGATCCACGAGTTGGCTCGTGAATATAATTTGTGTCCAGCTCGATTCATGACGAGTCCCAAAACGAGCTCGAATTGTCCATATGTCCATTCGAACTGGTTCGACCATTTTTCCACCCCTACCTTATTTGCTAATGTCTCTATCTATACATATACATTTTGTACTTACCTATATGGTGTTGAGAAGAATTATATAATCTACATCATTACACGTGAAGTATGGGAGCCAAGTTTTATTATCATATAATCATGATTGATGTCACAGTTATTTCTTTAAAATATGGATTAGTTTATCATTTCAGACAGTATCGATCAGTGCAATGAAACAAAATTAATTATTTTCAATAAAAGAGCCAAGAACAATGAACTCCAATCTAATTATTTGATACCCATCTCCATTTTATTTTAATTTTTTTTCTAATGGGATTATAGAAATATATAGAAGTAGTGGATTAAGACATTAAGAGCCATAGAATCTCAACTTATCCTTTAAGACGATCCAATTACATATAAAAATAACATCGTTAGTTTCAGCAATACTAAGAGGTTGTTATCATAGTTAAGATACTAAGATTGATGGATTCAAAATTAAATCGATAAAATATAAGTTAAAAAAGATGATGCTAGATCGAACACTTCAACTCTTCCCACTACTAGCAAAGGTTAACGAGTCGGCACCCGCTCGACAACACAAGAAGGAACTTGAAAATGGATTGAAGTGCTCGACAACACAACAAGTAATTAGTGTGAGATACCGCTTTTACATTAAAAAAAAAAAATTATTATTGTCTTATCTGACTGTTGATTATAAGAGAATCTCTCATTATTATCTGTAACGATCGCTCTCATTAAATAAAATAGATTTACTTGGTCGAGGTTCGACTACGAATTTCTTGACTTAAGGGCACATAACTTTGTCAAATATTTCTCCAATGTGTGTTAGGAGTGGTCTCACCACCTACCAACAAGTTGTCGCCTAACTAAGTCGAAATATCTCTTGCCTCTTTGTTATACCTGTCTATACTGCATGTTTAAATAAAGAGAGATGGTACATGAAATTCACAAGTCACTTGCTATATGCCAATCAAATATAATAGTTAGATTCAAATGGCCAAAACATCAACTTCCCAAGTCTATCAAGACTAGTATAAAGTCACACCGTCCACCTTATTGAACTATATAATCGTACAAATTCAATTAAAATACTATAGTTCTATAACTATGTAGAAGAAGCCACGTCTCCTCCTTTTTTCTGCTTGTGGCCTGCCTAAAATTGGTCCTCACACTGGCCCACTCCCCATTGCCATGTCCGAGCATCTCTCTCTATTATCTATTGCTGCTAACGAGTCAAATGATTATCTAAAGTTGAAGCATCAAACTTTAATTTTCTAACGGGTTAAAGTCACATCACCCTACACTTTGTAATTGAGATGTTAGAAAATAACTGTCATTTTTAATATCATGAATTAGGCCACTCAAATGCGGTTGATCGAATGTCATAAAAGGTTTAATACGCAGTTACTTGACACCAATTGATTTTCAGATCCTGTAAGTGGTATCACAGTTAGGTCGTGTTCAAATTACAAGATCATCATATTGAGGGAAGGATATCGTTGGATATAACTAGGCCGCTCTTAAGTACATGGATTGAGTCGCTCAAATAATGGTGATCGAGCATCATGTGTCAATTGACCAAGTCACTCAAATCATGGTGAACGAATACGATAAAATGTTTAGTCTATCATTATTGAATACTAATTGATTTTCAGAAGAGATGGCTGAAACTCGATTGAGCGTCATGTTGGGGAGAGGAATTATTTGGGTTCAACAAGGTCATTCTTAAATTCATGAATCAAATTACTCAAATGATAGTGATTGAATGCTATAAAAAGTTTAAATATGTTGAGAAAAATTGAAGATAAATTTCAAGTTCTTCTCTTTCTTATTATTTTTTTGTTTAAATGTGGCTTCTGCATGGACAAATAATGAGAGCCACGAGTCTCTATAAGCGTGCTTGTCATCAAACAAGTCATATTTGAACGTGCTTTTTTCTCGTCAACATATTTTACACCACTACTCTATAGTCTTTATATTTTGCATTCTAAGCATCAATTCTCTCGAAACTATTAGAGACTAAAGGAAACAATTTTTTTTTTTTGTCCATTTCTTATAATTTGGATCTAAATGCTTCCATCTTTCTTTAATTTGTGCATTTAAATACAATCTTATGAAGAAACATTTTAAAATGTAACAACTTGAATGCTATTTCGTGCACATTTCATCAAGCACCATTTTGCAGCAAGGTAGTGGTTAGAAGAAATCCATGATGGCTTCCACTATAGCATAAATAAACCAAGGGACTACTTTGAATTGTCAAAGTCTACAAACTTTGGCCCCTTTTCCTAATTTTCTTCTATGTTGGATATTTTGAATAATTGACCGACCTGTCATATTCTCAGCCTAACTTTGAAGGAAAAACTGTTACTGAAAATGATTTCAATCTTAAGACTTCCTCCAATCGAGGGGGGTTTCAATTTCTTGATGTCTATCTGTGTATTTTTAAAGTCAAACGTATTAGACAACACACAAAAGCACACAAGGGTGTGTATGCGTATTTTCCAACTCCTCGGGAGTGATAGTCAATGAGGTGATGCTCTTCGCCTCGGTAGTGATTGTGGTCGAGGCGATGGAACATGATCCCGCCTTGGAGTAAAGATCGTGGAGGCGACAAGCTCCAGTTCAGTAATCTTTAGGAAGATCGTTGAGATTGTGCGAGTTGTAAAAATCGATGCCATTTATCATTTTTAGTGTTGTTAAAATCAATGACAAAACTATGTGCCACATCACACATTGTCAAAAAAACTGTCAACCATGAATACCAAGCAAAACCGTAAACTTTTTATACATGGCTATCCAACCTGTGCTATTTTTATAGCACTTGAGTCTCCAACAGACAGTTTTCGTATCTCCATCACAACTTATGTTCACATTATCATGGAGAAAAAGAAATGCGCATAAACTAGCTCAGACTCCAAAAAAATTTCGACTAGGAAACCTGTTCATTAGATGGCGTTCAAGAAATTAATACATAAAGAACTTCTAAAGAAAGATCACAACTCAGCAAGTCTTGCCTTTATAATGCAGTTCTTCTAGTAAACATGGAGATAACTAAAAATAAAATTTGAGTTAATAAGAAAAGCAGCACAAAGCATAAGCAAAATGTGATGATTGCAGCATGGTTAACTCAGTTATGCCATATGCATTTGTACAAGAAAAATCTCACTCAATGAACACAATTTTCTATAAAACTGATTTTAAACAAACTTTAACTAAAATCAGAAATAATTATAGTTTTCAAGCAGATTTCTAGCTACTCGGAGCACTACTACTGGAGGTTCCGAAAGTAAAATCATAAATCAACAAGATGTTAACTTCTTAATGTTTCTCAAACCCGGGTTTCATCTGCCTCTGTACTGCTTCTAGGAGAGAACTCAATTTTCAGCTCTGTAACTATCAGGTAGTCCCCAAGAGTTAATTAAGTACGATAAAACTCACCACTTTGATCTTCTGGTACTCTGGCCTTCCCCTCTGACATCTGCAAGCCTTGACTTTGAACCATTCCCAGGAAGGATACTTGATCTTTCATGAATGGTACTGGAACCATCTCGTAGAAGCCATGGTTGCTCCCTTTGCTGAGTGGGACTCGTATATTCTTGGACTGGCCCTAACCTAGAGCTAGATAAAGCATGATCCTTGAGACCTTTTACAGATTTGTATCTTTGAGTTTCATCGACATAACTTCTTCTTGAAGCTTCCTTATCGAGTTCGTGAAATCTTTCCCTATCCAACCCATCTCTTAAATTTTGACTACTTGCACCTTCATTACCCCATTCAACTCCATCTGACATGCTCCTCAGAATAGATGTGCTTTTCCTAGAAAACTGCCCGGTGATAGAGTTCCTCCCTTTGATTTCATCATCTATGGGTAATCTTCTAGGACCAGCAATGGAGTCGTAAGCCTTTTTGTAAATTCCGTTATTGTTATCCATGTTCAATTCAATAGAATGAAGATCACTCTCTGCAGAATCTTCTTTGTCGTCTATTGCATCCTCGACTTCTCCATCATCTTCTTGTTCTTCGTTCTGATGCAAACCAAAGTGAGACTTGCTCAAATATGCCGCCTTTTCTTCATCTTTGCCTCTTTTTGATCCGAGGAAAGCTTCCAGTTGTTTCCTCAACTTGTTAATGGCAGAATTTTTCTCTTCAAATTGATGTTTAGACTCGGAGATTTTCACCTGGACTCTGTCTTCATACAACCTGTCAGCTAACCGTAGCACCTCTCTTTCCTTCCTGACGTCTTTGTTAACTTTTGTAGACTCTCTTTTCAGCTTTTCCACTTCAACCCTATCTTCATCAACATTCTGAGCCAATTCATCACATACCTTTTCTGTAATTTCTCTTGCTCTCTTCTCACTTTCCAATTCCTTAACGGCTTTCAGGAATGACGATTTCATTTCTGCTAGTTCTTTTCCGAGTTTCTTGTTCAAGTTTTCAAATCGACGCCTTAGCTTCTGTTCTACATCTAGTTCACCAGCAATAGACTCAATAGCAGACTCCACGGCTTGCTGTTCTTTACTTTTCCATGCTGCCTTTTCTTCGGCAAAACACTTCATGATATGGTTAATATCATTCATGTCAGAACGTTGTTCTTGGATAAGCTGATTAACCTGTAGACGAGCTCTCTCAAGCTCAGCATGAAGCGCTGAGATAAGAGACATGCTAGATGAAGGTTGATCTGCACGAGCCCAAATACGGTTTATGATTTTCAGTAGCTCTTTGGATGTAGTCAAAGCGTTGCTAATATCCTTAAGACGATTCTTAGCACCACTTATTGATCCGCTTGGAGTCTGGGCTCGAGACCTAGTCTCAATCTGCAGTTGAGATTTATTCAGTTCCACATAATTTACTAAAAGGATCTTATGAAAAGTCGTCTAAACAGTTTGATTGTAAATTTCTTCTGGAACAGTACTAGTACTAGAGACAATATGTGGCAAAGATGGAATGTGAAAATAACATAAAAGAAGAAGAAGAAACAAAGATTGATTTGATCTTTGAGCTAATAAACGAAAAATAGATTAATAAAACAGACCACAAGACAAGCGAAGGTAACCTTGTTACCTCCATAAAACTACCGTTGCTTAGTGAATCAAAAGCTCCGGCATTTTCGTCTGTAGACCTAAGCCTCTGGACAATTGATGGCGTCCTCCTCTGACGACCCTTTCCAGAACGATCCATTCTCTGTTTAAAGCCCCAAGAAGACGTTTTAATTTGGCAAAAGAACTACTTGGAAATGAAAAATACACATAAAGTGGAAACAGAAAAAGCAAAGAACATCAACCAGAGCTTGACAAAAATGGTCGCCTTCGAAGTTTAAAAATTGAAGGTGCGTGTATATCGTTTCTATAGACTCATGTTCAATGTTCCTGAAGGACAGCTGAAGGCACTATTACAAACAAAATGAAGGTTATCAAACTCTAACTCGTCTAGTTTCAAGAAAAGTTATTCTGAAGCCCGAATGAAGATTCAGACAAAATTGATGTCTCGAGCCTAACTGAATGGTATAATTATATGGCATATAGTGCTCTACTTGGATAACCTTTAGAAATCCACTCCTGGCTAAGTTTCAATCTTTCAATTAATTTGAAAATTAACCCACATTTTGAAGTCAGCCCTTCTTAGTCAATCGATGAGAAATCCTCATTACAATCATCATCTCCAGGGCAAAGAACAGTCCATTAAACGATAAAAAAGATTCTTCTCATAAAGATCAGAACGTCAGAAAATAAATTAGTAAATACAATGTTCTTTTGATTATATGCTCCTAAAACTTAAATAAATTGGCATTGTCTAAAGAACAGAAACTACTGCTTTGGATTTTTCTTTACCTGTTTTAATATTCGAATATAAAAACAATATGGATTGGAAAATGCAGATGTATTGAAGTATAAAAATCAAATAAAGCACCATCCCACCTCAGAAATAGCCGGGCTATGAGATGGATCAGACAAATGTGGCGGCAAAGAACCTGAACCCGAGTGCAAACCTGATACAGCTCGCATTTTCTCCCTTTTAAGCATCATTTTACTGCTGCTATTCTTCCTCTGCTGCAGCATTAACTCCATATTACTCTCACTCATTTTGGGTGAAGGCATCTCATTCATTCCCCACAGTGTAGCTGCAAGTTTGCGGGCCGACACTGGTTGAGTGGATTTCCCACTTTGTGAGTACCTAGGAGACTCAATGGTGCTCCTCAACGGAGTAGTTCTCCATGTCGGCACTGGGGTACTGGATCTGGATCCTCCCAACCCGATCCCAAGCCCAACCCGATTCTTGCCCACCAAAATGGCCCGCTTATTCAATCTGTAATTGTGAATTCTTGATGAAGATGACGAGGGTGATGAGCATTCCCTTTTCCGGGTCTTAGCTGGCACCATCAGCCCTTCCATCAAACCCCTATAACTATGCCTTGGCATTATTACTTTTCCTTTGATTTTTCCACTTCTTTTTAACAATACATACACTCTTTTGCTCTAAATTTCAACGATCTGTATTCAAATAAAAATAAAAAACCCAAAATAAATAAACATGACCATAAAGGCTCGACTTTAAAACACAAGAATAAGGAGGTTTGAAGATCTTACACTTTAGTCCCTGTGGATGCCTTGACAATATATATTCACTTCTTCTCAGCATCAATTTTTTGTTTAACTGCAAACCCTTTTTGATCTGGTTATAGAAAAAGCAAAACACATATAAAGATATACTTAAATATGGATTATTAATGAAAAAATTTCAGTGGGCGTAAAGTGGGGTTTACAGCATCTTTACAGCTAGGAATGTGATTTTCATTTAAATTTAGCAAGAATTGCAGAAGGAAGATGGAGATGAAAGGGGCATGAATGATGGGTTTCTTGATATAATTTGATTTGAAATGATGTCAAAAAAAGAGCAAGCTTCAACTTTTATTTTATTCTAATCTCCATTTCAATGTCACTTTTACTGTAAATGCACTACACATGAAGCACGATGTACAAGTAGACAAAGAATGGAGAAAGAAGCGAAAGAATTGGAGTGGCATGTGAAGCTGAAAACGTGGCTGACAATAAGTGGGTTGTACAAGAATGTCTTTTAGAATTTTTACTTTGTTAGATTTGTCTAAGTCTGATCTGTCTAACTAATTAAAATTGATTATTTTCTTGATTCTCTTTTAGCTTAATATTGTAATTGCAATGTGTCCAATCCCAGTTCTCTTGTTTTTCTAATATCTAATATAATATTTACTCAGGATCAAGATCATAGGTCATGAAAGATAATGCTCTCATAAATAAATCAAAATCGAAATAAGAAAGATTTGAGATCTCGAATGAATTTTCAAAGGATTGCTTGTAATATTAATTTTGTGAGTTCAGAGGTGAAGAGCTCGTGATTATAATATTTTCTTGTGGATAAAAAATAGAAAATGCATATCGAAAGAATCGATAGTTTTAAATTTTAGTTCCTAAAATGAAGCTAAAAACTAAAGTGGGAGTCTTACGTTTATTCAATTAGTGTAAAGGCACAACAAGAATGAATTATTTGAGTAATGCTACGTCTCATCCAACGAGACTCCAAGAAAGAACCACATGGTAGTTACGGAAAAAGCGAACCTAGACACATCACTATCCCAGATGACCTATTCGAGGTCCTTCAATAGTCGAAGTAATGTGCTCTGTCGAACCCCCTTGTAAAGGTCGAACTCTCCATGGACGAGTTGAATTGATGCGACATGATGCATGATCTATTCGAAGCGAATAACTTTCAGGTGTATGAGATATCTTCATTGGAAGATCCTCTATACAAGATCTTCTATGAATGATTAATGTGACTTCTCTACAGCAGTTATCCTATCAAATCAATTAATCAATTAAAAAATGTATTTTTACTGTTGATGTGATGAGAAATATGTGGTTTAAAAAGAAGGAAAGATTATTGATGAGATGAAAAATATTATGGCTCTCTCATTATTGAAGGTAATGCAATTTTACACACTTTATAGTAATATGGCTCTCTGTTTTCCTCTCTCATAAACCTCTGGTGTCCAAACATTATTATGGCTCACGTCTTTTGCACGTCCCACCCCAAATATACATATATAAGTTGTCTGACATCACCATCAGAGTACTCGCAACCACTTTCCCCATCCTAGGAGGTCACGTGCTTCTAAAAATTTATCCAAATGTGCAAGAACTATACGTACGCGTGAATGTGAATAGAGTCGAGATCTGTTGATTACATTGCCCGAGCATAAACCAAGATCAACAAGTATTAATGCAAAGATATTGTGAATTATTAAACGCTTAATTTTATAATGTCACCATGTTATTTAACTTTCATGATACTTGAGTATAGAAAATATAAAAATAAGCGAAAATCGAAGAACTTACATGTTCAGTATAATAATGAATAAAAAAAGGTTAGCTTCTTTTAAAAAAAAAATTCGCCATGTAAAACACTTTTAGAAAATTATCTAAACATATTCGAAAATAATTTCTTAATCGTAACTTTTGATTTTTTTAAAAGTCTTATCAAATAGACCCTTAATATATTGTACTAGATAAAATTTATCAGTACACGAACAAAATTGTAGCATTATTTTCTATATATTAATTGTATTATGGTATCTAGTCCTTTGTATCTAGCCGTGTCACATTTCCTCAAGGTCTATCTGATTTTTGCTAATGAAAAAGGAGAGTTCCATCAAGACTGCATAGTGAACCAACTATTTGAGGCCAAATTGCAAAAGTTCGTACATCAAAACTTTGAGAATTGTCGTGGTCACGAATCTTAAAAAGATAAAACAAATCACAAGATTAAAATTTATTTGGTGCATTTTCAGGTTTAGTTACAGGATTAGAAAATTTTGGTTGAATTTATGCTAATGTATACGCATCAAAATTAACAAAAATGGTTTTAAAACTCGTCTCATCAATCAATATTCATCATAAGTCTTATCTCTGAGATCTTCAAAGAAAAATATGAAAACGCCTTAGCGATCGGCGTCTACTGATTCGTAACATTGACATCCAAGTAAGTTATGGCAACTACAGCATATCGAGCAGCTCCTAGTGGAAGAATTTCTTCATCGATAATGAAGTGGGGCGAACTCCACGGTTTGATAGGTTTTCTTGTCTCATTTCTCATTCCGATCATAAAAATTGCTGCGGACATCTTCTGTGAGTGGAAGCTGAAATCCTCGGCTCCCATAGTTGTGGGGCGAACAACACATTATTCTCCCCGGGTGACGATTCTCCAACCTTTTTAGCATCTTCGTACATCACAAGATTATTGATCGTAGCCAGATAAGGTATCAGTTTCTCCTCCATGAAGTCGACTGTTGTAGAACACCGATAGACAGCTGCTTAAGTTTCCATAACCTGTAAGCAGTGCATTCATCAACAATGTTTGTCTTCTGTAATTGAAGGTAACACACAGCGTTGCTCTATTATAAATATTAAGTACCTCTTTAACCCTTGGCCAAAGGTAGGAATAACTTTCCACATTCAAGAACCGAAACATGCCACCAAACTTGACTATCTCAGGGATTACATTTCCTACAGCTCCACCCAGGGACGGACCCAGCACCCAGGTTCAGCCCGGGCGGACGTTGACTAGTCAACGTCCTCGACCTCAATCACCATCACCATCACCTCCAAATCCAATCTAGATTAACATTCTCATTTTATTTATCTAATTCATCTTAGAATGACTACACAATGCAACACTTTTAAGAAGAAAACTAGATTAACATTCTCATTTTTTTTATCTAATTCATCTTAGAATGACTATACAATGCAACACTTTTATGAAGAAAAAAAATTAGTTTTCCTTTTTCATAATCAGGAATGAGGGTCACTGGCGTGAGGCGTCTGCAATCTGCATAAAATTCACCCTTTGAAATCTGAATTGCAGACGCCAAATGTATTGCGGTATTGGAATTTGGAAATATGGTTTAATGTTTCAACGCTATCTTATTTTGAATGGTGAACGAATTATGAGGAGAACGGAGAACCAACTATGAACTACCAGTCTACCAACAGTGAACAGACGGACAGTAGCAAAGAAGTGAGTCTGCAGACAATTAGACAAACACCAAATTTTTGCATTTCATTGCACAATTTCAATTTGCAGTTAAATTTCATGATTTACCATCGAATATGATAGCCACGGGACCAAAATAATTCAAAAAAAATTAAAAAATGGAAACCTACACAATCAAAGATTCGAAAACAACTTACGGTTTCGGGTTTCACAAAATTCGGCTAAGTGCGGACTGCGGACGGAGTTCCTGATTCTGCTGCGTCGCTGCTGGAGACAGTTACGGGCCCACCATCACATCTGGTTTCTGCATCACTGCTTGGAGTTGGAGTCGGTCACCTACTGAAACCCAGAATCTATAGTCCCCAAAAGCTTTCTATGAATCGGAAAACCAAAATCTCTAAGAATTCCGAGCAGTTTCGATCCAAACTATTTCTGGCGTATTCAGTTAAAAATTTGGGGGAGATTGGAGAAAGTGAAAATTTGAAAATTTGGGAATTAGATTGATTTCAATTTTCAAACGAATTCACAGGAATTTAGGCCTATATATTTTATATTAAGTATTGTGCCCAGACAAATGGCCCAATCCAATTACAAAAAAAAATAGATGAATTAATGGGCTGGACAAATTGGCCCAATTTGAAAATGAATAACTAAAAAAAAGGAACTCAGCCCACTTCAAAACAGACAAAAAAAAAACTGAAGATTGAAGAAGACGAACTAGGTGCTCGACGGCGAAGTTCACTGCCAATTTGGTCGGTCCGGCGGAACCCAGCACGCGCGGCCGCCCCCCCTGGCCGGGTGCTGGGTTCGTCCCTGGCTCCACCACCTTTTACGTATCCAACTGAGACTACCTGCACAGTTTGTTGAGAATTAGAAACCATAATTCTATTTCATCAAAAGCAATCAATTTCCAGAAACAAATGCAAACTCGCAAGATATATATAGAGATTCACCTCAATTTGAGACATCTTTCATTTTTACAGTATTCACAATGATAAAAAGAAGTTTACAAGAAAAAATCACACACAATATCTTTTCTAACATCCTTTATTTTTTTTTTAATGATAATACAAAACCTAGTATTTATTTAGGCTACTATGAAAGTACTAAATGTAATGTATTAGGTAAAGGTATTAAGGGATATGAAGTCATTATAAGACTGTTATGGTACCATTGCAAAGTATATGACTTGAATCCCAAATTGAAAGTATGAGTTTACTATATGGGATTTATATGGACTTGAGCTCTTCAACCTCAACAATTAGCTTTCGAGGATATGGTTCTCCCATGATTCATTACAAATGTATCACAGCAAGTCCCCACATCTTTCAGTTGCAACAAATGGCAGATGGCGGTGGCGGACCCAGCATCAAACCCCAGCCCGGACGGACGTTGT